ATAAAATTTTATTACTGAAATGAAATTTGTTTCTTGATTCTTCAGCCAGCAGCTGTTGCCCTGCTGTACACGAGTCTGGAAATAATTGAAATATTACAGTTGCAGTACATCACTAGCACACAATTTAAATGAGATTGTTAATTTTATTTGTTCTTATCCTGCTCTACTTACATATGGCTGCAAAGTATCATATTTAAGTGTTTACATGGGCTTCATCTAAGGGAAATCTCGCCATAAACATCCTTTTTTCAAGATTCGAATGACTTGCTCGATTTTCACCAATTTCGCAGGTAATAAACCGTCTTTTAGGCATTTTGAATTAAAAGTACAACTCTGATCACTAGTTTTCGTGAGAAAGTTTACTCTAAACAATTTAAATTTACAATGAAATAAGCATTTAAATTCAAAATACGCGGTCGAAATTAAGTTTTGACAAACAACATGGCACTTCTTGTATTGCAAGAAGGAGAAACCGCATTGAGGGAGAGTGATAGCAATGTCCGCCATTATTTGCCGCATAAAGTCCATAGAAAAATTTTTGTTCCTAGTTTCGTCAGACTGACTAACGTCGTCAGGTAGATTGACAGGTGTTAATTTTTCCACTCAAACGTTTTACTATACTATATTGCAAAACTATCTTATTTTGATTTATAAATGGTAACTTGCTTCTTAGGACAGAAATGTGACTTTTTAAATCTATAGAAGTAATTATGATATAAAAATATATTTTCAAAATATTTTAACGGTAAATATAACATAATAATATTATTTAACTCGAGACTTGATTTTATAATATGGTAACATTAATTGCACGGCAAACAAGCCTGACAAATCCACCGCCGATATTCTTAGTCAATTGAGTTTTCAAAAATAAATGAATTTTTCCCTGCCAAGTGTAAAAGACAAATTATAATATTTATATCTGTAACTATGCTAGTTGTAGACGCTTGAGATTTCTCTCAACAATTTTTTCGCCACTGTCCTTTTTTTATTCAATATAGGCTTATTTTAAGCTATTATTGAAAGTCAAAAAAACTAGCACCGGTTCATGATTTGTTCAGGTCATTTCCACATAGCCTTCTCGTCAAAGTATTACTGAACATGTTTTAGCTAGTCTCAACCTCGGTACTTCCAGCGTGTAACCACGGCCCCGACAAGATATGGTATGTTTTTTGTAAAAATGTGTTTAAATAAAAAATATTTAAAAAGTAATTACAACATTTAAAAATGGAAGTCTTTGGCTGTAGAATGCAGTTTGTTTCATTTGACTGTCAATCGTTTTTACATTGTGGCGCCATTTTAAATATTGTATGTCTACTCGTACATGGAATTAACTCGGGAAAACTTTCGTAGTATGATCTTGTACGATTTTAAGTGTAATTTGAGAGTTCAGCAGAGCCTCACTCGGCTTTAATCTGCTTTTGGAGATGAAGCACCATTCCCAACTACTATTTATAGTGTTTGAGGAATTCAAGTACGGTTGTGTCAATCTCAGTGACGAATCTCGCGACGGTCGCACGCCCACCGCTATGAACAACAAAAACATCGATGATGTACACCGTATGATCGAAAAGACTGTTATGTGACCTACCATGAGATTCAGGCATCCTTAGATATAGGCATGAGTCCAATATAATCAATCCTACACAAAGATTTGGGGAGTGAGAAAGCAATCTAGCGTATGGGTTTTTCAAGATGAGCCGAAACCAACCGATGAGTGACTGGTACACTACCATTTGTTTTGCCGAAAGTTATGAGGAGGTCACCGCGGAGGAGTGGCACAATTGTTTTCAAAATTGGTTTCATCGTATACAAAAGTGCATTGACGCAAAGGGAGAATATTTTTAGAAACAATAAATTAACTTTTGACCTTTTATAGTAAAGTAAAGTAACAGCCTATATATACATATCCCACTGCTGGGCAAAGGCCTCCTGTATACAGAGGGTATCAGGGCATAGTCCACCACGCGGCCTCACTGCGGATTGGCGGACTTCACATATCTTCGAAATATATATTTTTTTTGTTATAATTTCGAAAATATGCAGGTTTCCTCACGATGTTTTCCTTCACCGCGGAGCACGTGATAAGTCAGCACTTAAAGTTAAAAACTTCATTGGTGCCGGCACCGGGGATCGAACTCAGGTTGCTCGAGTTCATTGAATTAAAGGCGAGCGCCCGGAAACTACGCTATCACGGCTTTTACCTTTTATAGTATTTTTTCTTATTCATTCCGGAAACTTTTAATACACCCCACGTATTATTTCGTACATACATAATGTTCATGTCTGGTGAGTGAGGTAGCCGGGGCCCACATTATTAAATAGTGGTAACGCATCTGCTACCCTAAGGATGTTGCAAATGTTAATGGCCGGCGGTTATCACTTAACATCAGGTGAATCACGACCAACATTTCCTGCTCATTTTTCACCTGCTCTCATAAAAGAAAACGGGATTTGGACACAAGTTGCTCGAAAATATTGAAGTAAATAGTGCCCGAACAGTGCGTTATCACGACTATCTGAATGATAACCAAACTAACATATATGGCATATCCACTTTAGATACGTAGCCAATGCTACCATAATTGAAAACGGCTGTTATTCTATTGAACAAATTAGTGACAACAAATCTTGCTTTGCTGAATTTCATGTTATGTTTTGACAAATGTTTAATAAAAGGCAACAATATTCCGTAAGGCATTTTTATTAAAATTCTATTTATAGTCCAGTGCCCTTATACGATTTTAAAATTAAAATAAAGTACAAAACTAAACCATATTCCAAAATTGCATCGTAGCACTCTAAAAAGTGAAGGTTCGTTGGTAGACGTTCGCATGACTGACAGCTGGTTGCTGCTGCCGCGTAACGGTTGCGCGAAGAAATATCATCATATACGTAGTAACAACTAGGAGGGCAGCGATTGTAGTCTCACTGCAGGCACGTGATGCAACGTCTGTATTTACTTACACCTAATACATTAGAGCACATTTGACATAATTTTTATTACGTAATTTTAATATATTTTTTTTAAGTGAAAAGTTGCCAATCGAGCAGATGGTTCATCTGATGTCAAGTGAATACCGCCGCCTATGGACATCTGCTACACCTGAGGGTTGCAGATGCGTTAACCACCTTTTGAAAATTTTAAAATTTTAATATGAGTATTAATACTCACAATAGACTTATATTAATAAATTAAAATAATAGTTCTTTGTTATGATTTATTAACAATTATTCAAATGGCAAAGTAACTAATCAAATAATTCAGTGTTCAATTTAGCTTTACATATTTTACATTTTGTATTTCATAAAATATTCAAATTTGGTTCAGCACCAGTCTTTTGTAAAATTTATTTGTTGCTTAACAATGTAGTTCTACGGTGCTCGATTAGAGCTAATCTCAAAAGTTATAATATGTGACTAGCTAGTAATATTCTAAATATTTAAATAAAGAACTGTAGACTCTAATTAAGTTGAGGAATGTACGCAAAAAAATTTGACTTACGCTTTTTACAAAAAAAGGTAATATGAGTAAATTTAAATATAATCATTATTGTCTAATGTATTAGGTTTCTTCTGCGCCGACGAACTTCATTATCGCCTGTTGGTAGTTCGGTGGTAGTAGATGTAGTTGTAGTTGTAGTGGTAGTTGTTGTAGTAATAGGATCCAGCCCCTTAATCTCGAAGGGTCCACGGAATAGGGGCCGGAACAGTCGCAGGAAGCTCTGGTAGCGCACCGCCGAATTCTGTGTCAAATATCCTCTCACAAATTTTGTTTATAATAAAACCAGTAGTACAAAACAAAACTTTCCAACTTAATTTTATACTAAGAACATGAAGACGTAGATATGCAACAATATTCAATAAACTTTATTCAGAAGAAGCCTCATTACATCTTAAAATCTTTCTGACCCTCACACTAGGCAATGCCTGTCCTATAAAGATTAATTCTTGATTCGTATGTTGTTATATTTTGTACCCGAACAAATTTTTGTAAAAAATAACATCCATAAAAATGTTTCTATGGGTGTTATTTTTATTATCATCATCATTTCACATTGTAAGCGTCCACTGCTGAACATAGATAGCCTCTTGCACCAGAGAGTGGAGGTTCGGTCAGTAAAACAGGAAAAATCAGTACTACAGGAAAAACATTGTGAGATTATTGGTGGTTATTAGTGGTTTATATATTTATAATGTGAATTTATTTAAAAAAATAAAATATGTTTAAGTTTGTACATTAGATATCTAGTACACATAGTACAAGCGTTGCTTAGTTTGGGACTAGAAAACGTTATGTAAAAATGTGTCCTGAAATATTTATTTATTTATAGACCTCGTCTAGGGATTTCCACTCTCGGTCATTGCAGGTCAGAAGCAGAATGCATCCGGCCAAGTACCGCGACCTTAGCCAGGCCATCAGTGGTCACCCCACGCTACGCTTTCCGACTTTGTTACTTTTAGTTTAGTATTTTCATTGAAAATGTTCCAAACAGTTAAAAATGCGTAGAAAGCCTACTTAAAACAGATATTGTAACGTGTTTGGTCTTAATTAAAGCCATGTGATGTTTTGTGCAAAATTCGGCATGCAGGAAATGAAACGTCCTTCTCATATGAAAGTTCAAACTTACTCGAAATACCTTTTAATATTAGAAAGTAAAGTAATATAATTTCAACTCATATCTAGAGGATCATAACATATTTATTTGTTATATTCAAATAATATAGCAAAATATTAACGGGTCATTGTGTTACAACATACAGAAAAGTTAATGTTACTTGGATAGAAATACACGACAGCTTCAGACTGGGGTAAAGTAGCAGTTTTTGAACTTTTGTATTTCTTTTGGTGAGGTAACTGACACTAATCGTCTTAGAGATTGGTAACATTGGCAACACTTCTAATATAACGATTGTCTTGTGATGTTAGTTAGCACCAGTTTTTAAAAAAAAATTGGCTTCGCGTGAAACGGAAGCCACAAACCTGGATAACGTCGCCGATGATTTTAGTAGTCCGGATGAGGAGCGACACGGATGGCCCAAACAAATTGCCCGGGAAGTCCAGGCTGACCTTGTTCCGGTCGAACGTCGGGATATCCTCGTCGGGGGTCGTGGCCCTCGGGCCGCGGGGTGGGCGTTGCGTGGGCCGCGTGGGCCGAGTGGGCGTAGTGCTGGGGTGCCGCCACGTAGTGCCAGTCTGCACACAGCGAAATCCTCAGGCCCTAGCTCTCGCCGCACCCCGCTACGCCTTATTGCCGCCGCGCCTCCCTCCCGTATGTTTGTGTCACGGTACATTGTTTATGTTTACGAAGCCGTTCTTGTATATATTCGTGTACGGACTTGTTGAATAGTAAGATTAACATAACAAGTATAAGGTTGGCGTGTATTATGTAACGCTCATATCTCCTGAATGAAATGCTTTGTTATAAATATACTAATATTGGTAATTTAAGTATCGTGTCAATGTTATCCATTTGTATTTATTCTTAGATA